TTTCCATTCGTGGATTGGTTGTGTGGTTTGGTTGCGATCATTCCTTGTTTTAGATGACTAATTATAGGTTGTTATATGTGTTGTGGGTAGCCGTATGACGTGAATCCTAGTTTGTGATTTGTAAAGTGTGGAATGTGGTCGTTTGGCAATTTGGTGCATTTACTTGAATTGAATAGAAATGCATGTTGAGATCGAATGATGAATATGTATATATGTATTGTGATATGTATATATATTATGAATGCATAATGAATATATGCGATGAATGTGAATAATGCATGAGTATGTTTGTAAACATGTATGCATTTCAAGAAGTGTATGGAGTCATTTTGCATGTGAAGCATCATGAAGTACATTCTTGTGCTGTTGATTCCTAGGAGAGTCTGATGAGCGATAGGATTCCTAGGAGAGTCCGATGAGTAATGTGATTCCTAGGAGAGTCTGATGAGTGATAGGATTCCTAGGAGAGTCCGATGAGTAATGTGATTCCTAGGAGAGTCTGATGAGTGATAAGATTCCTAGGAGAGTCCGATGAGCGATGTGATTCCTCGGAGAATCTGATGAACAATGTGATTCCTCGGAGAATCTGATGAACGATGTGATTCCTCGGAGAATCTGATGAACAATGTGATTCCTTGGAGAATCTGATGAACGATGTGATTCCTCGGAGAATCTGATGAACGATGTGATTCCTCGGAGAATCTGATGAACGATGTGATTCCTCGGAGAATCTGATGAGCGGTGTGATTCCTCGGAGAATTTGATGAGCAATGTGATTCCTAGGAGAATCTGATGAGCGGTGTGATTCCTCGGAGAATTTGATGAGCAATGTGATTCCTAGGAGAATCTGATGAGTTATAGTGTACCCGTGAGGGGCGTGAGTGAATTGATTCTTAGGAGAATCTGATGGACGATTAAGTCGGTATCATATTGCATTTGCGTAGAGTAGTGAGTTGGCCTCTATGATTTGCATTTATCATCTTTGCACGATGTATGGTGAATAAAAATGATTGTAGATGTTTATGTAAGTTGTTGATAATTGGCATGAATGGAATGTTTGAAGATACATGTATGTGTGAATATATCTGTATATGTGTGTATGTTTATGAAATAATATAAACATTAATGATGCATATTGTATATGCTTAGTGTTCTATTTGTAAATAGTTAATTGTGAATACATTGCGATGTACGGTGTAGTGAGATGAGTTGTGGTGAGAACGCGAACAATGTTATTGGACGTTATGTGTATATATGTTTATATGCATTATGTATTATGATAATGTTTCTCACCCTTCTGCTGTTTTATAATGCTCTATGAGGCATTGCAGATTAGATTGCTGGAGATCTTTTGTGAAGCGTGGCTTCAGTCTTTTTGACCGGTTGGCTCTGATATGTGGCACCGGGTAGTTAGGGATTATTTTGATTCTTTTGTGATACACCTGTGTATGTATCTGCTGATGATATGTTTTGTAAACATGGTGAATGATAATTGTATATGTGAATACATGTTTTGGAGATTATGAAATATTTGGATGTTTCCGCCTTTGTTCTAAATATTTTCTTGTGGGTGTTGCCACGATGTTGCATATCTGTTGAGCAGGTGTTTTGTATGTGTCGAATTTTTGGTATAATGTGATATGCCCCTTTTATTCCATGATATAAATGTACTCTGATGAAATTTTAAATTATGCCTGAATGATTATTTGTATTATTTGGGGGTATAGAAAGGGGGTGTTACACATGTACAGGTTGTGGTTAGCGTTGAGAGGTTGTGATTGATTGTTGTTCGCGGTAGAGAATACAGGAGCAAGGTAAGTCTGGTTTTGAGTTTGTTGTGATGAGGTGTTTATGTGGGTTGATTGTGTGATTTTGGTTGAGGTTATAATCTTGCAAGGAATTTGTAGTTATTGTGATGAGTTTGCTGAGGAATTTTTAACAGTGTTGAGATTTGTGAAGGTTTGTTTTAGTGATGTTGAGGTGTGTGTTCTCTATTTGCAGGTTGTGAAAGTTGTGTTTTATTGAAGCCTAAAAAAGGTTGAAGGAATTGGTATGAATCATTTTGCAAGTTATTTTTTGAGTGAAGAATTTGAAGAAGGGTAGTGGCTGCATCCTTGTGAAAATGCGTTCGTTCAAGGTTTCTGCGTGAAGGATTGTGAATGAAGATTGATAGTGTATGTTCTGTTTGTGTAGAGTGGTGCATAAATGAAGCACTGGTTTCTTCTAATGGGCCCTGAAATCTTGGAAAATAAGTTTGTCTTTATTCTTCAAGTTTTTTCTTTTTTATTTCCAACATTGTATAACTTCTCTGAGCTTGTTTTCATATACCTTGCATTGGTTTTTTTCCTTATGGGCTTGTAAATGACATAATGAGCCTTGGTTGTAAATTGGATTTGAACTTTTGATTCAATCTTCTCTTACTAAAATTTTATAGTGTAATAGACTTTTATGAAAACTTGAATTGGGCTTTGGATTGCCTTTTGTTATTTGCACCTTCCACTTGCTTTGACTCAAACACTTGAACCATAGAAAATTGTTGTATCTAGTATTTGACAAACATGAACAAATTGAATCCAAATTGCAACCAATATTCCTTTTCTTGTTTGGCACATGAATTTGAGAAACTTGAATCGTGCCAAAAATCTAACATAAATCAAACTTGAATGAACTTGAATGGATGGTAAAGCCTTGAATAAAAAATGAATCCTTCTTGAACTTATAGCCACTTAAATCTTGGTGAACCACAATCTTCACCTTGAAACTCCTTGAACTTAACTTGAAAATTAGAATCATGATTTGAAATATGAACCTCAATACACTGCACAAAACCCTAATTGGAAATACTCAGGTCCTTGGTGGTCCTCAATCATAGAGCCCTTGAGTCCAGCACATATTTGCCCTCAGACAATCCAAACGAATATAACTTGAGAATGACTTCTTGTTTGACCAAGATTAGGTCAAACTCACTTGAATCTCAATCATTAAACCTGCGCACTCACTTGACCCGATAACCATGAATGAACCTTGATTCAACCTTTCAACACCTAAGCTTTGACAACAAGAAAACTGAAAACAACAGGCGTATAATTTTGAATTTTTGAATAAAGGTTAGTAAACATAAACAAGATAAAAGCAAATAAAAACACAAATGAGGTAATACTATACAGGTATGACAAAATTGGGTTATGACACTTGGTTTTTGCTGTGAGTGATACGACGATACTGTTAAGAAGCGAGTTAATTCGATTATATATGGATAAACAATTTCACCACGGTCATATTCAAAAACTGTTATGAAATATAATGTATTTCACAACGATTGATATTAACAGCCATGGTGATAGGTATTTTAAGTTTTATATATATATATATATATATATATATATATATATATATATATATATATATATATATATATATATATATATATATATATATATATATATATATATATATATATATATATATATATATATATATATATATATATATATATATATATATATATATATATATATATATATATATATATATATATATATATATATATATATATATATATATATATATATATATATATATATATATATATATATATATATATATATATATATATATATATATATATATATATATATATATATATATATAACACTCATTGTAACGAAAGAGTAGAAAATTCTTGAAACTGAGATTTGAACCCTAACATTTCACGAATATAAAATTACGATTAATTTATTTGGTCGTAATACAATTTTTTTTTAAAATAAATATAAATAAACAAAGCGCGTCTAAAAATAAAATATTATTACGGTTAGCTGTGAGGCCGTTATAATATTGTGTTATCTTAGATTTTGTATTAGTGTTTGATCAAGAATAAAATAAATTTTAATGTTGATTGATTGGACAAATTGATGACGCCATGCTAAGGAGGTCACCTTTTTCCACTATGGACTCATAGAAAGTTTTAGAGCCTCAAGAACAAACATGAAATTGTCTTGCAAGAGCATCTGATCAAGGAAAATGATTGAAAGAGAATCAAAAAATCACAAAACAAACAGTATCCAAAATACTTCCCTTCATAAAAAAAAATTGTCATGCATATATAAGATTTTCGATTCTTGAATCAATGGTCACATATTTTATCTTAAAAATACTTTTCGTTATTATTATTGCCGATAGTTGACTTTGAAGTGCTTAGATGTATTACCCCTTAAGACAAATCAAAACTTGAAGCAAATCCATCTTATTATTGTATTATATATTGTCTCCCACCTTTAAAAACTAAAATAATTGTTTATCCATCTTATTATTGTGTGGTTGAGCAAATCCATCCCCATGTGAGATGATGCGCTTAGCTGCCTACTTTAATTAAGTATAAAAGTCGTTCTTAATTTAATGTATTTTCTTTGTAATTTTCTTATATGAAGTAAATATGTGTTGTTAAACCAAAAATGTATGTGTTGTTGAACCATCCCACCTTTGAATATATAACATGTTAGTTATAACTTAAGCCACTAATATTTGTTTCAAGTTTCAAATCTACCTCCGAGCACGTCGTTGGTCGGATCACCTAAAAACACAACAATGTCCTGGAGCACTACACATCTTCTTTCTATAACAATTCAATGCCCTTGGTGTTAAAAATTAATTAAAATGTTACATTATAAAGTTGTTCATAGAAAAAAAATGCTTCAAGATATAATACGGATATGTAACCCAATAACAACCAAAAACTTTAATTTTAAATCTCTAATGTAATCATCTCCGATTTAGAGAAAATAATTTTCATAGAAACACATTTGCTACAAAATCATTTAATATATGTGCACATATTGAGTTTAAACATTTAGAAAACCTAAAGAATGGTCTTGCTAATGAACATTAACTATCAATTCATCTCCTATTGCATTAGACCCTTGAGTCAATACTCCTTTTAAGTCTTCATTTACTAAAGACTTCATAAACTCCTTCCCTTCTCTTCAAGGTGTTGTAAATTCTTAATGAGGAGTTACACTTTCAAACGGTTGACATGTTCTAACATTGACTTGGATTGCACTATCTGAGCCGTTGATTATTTCGCAGCATTGTCTACGTGGTGCCTGATTACTCATATTACATTTCAATCTAGTTAGACTTCAAAATGGCACATAAAAAATAAAAATGGCTGATAAAAAATTAGAAATAAAAGCAAAATTTACCTTGTTCCACAAGCTAGCAGAAAATATAGGAGCCGAAACATTCATATATTGAATTTTTAAAGGTTGTGCGTAATCAGCATGGTCACATTCATAATGAATTGGACTCGCGTATCTTTTATAATTAGACTGAGTGTTCCCATCCTTCCCTTCAATTTGATCTAGAAAATATACTAACGGCCTTTTACATATATCCCAACTAACAGGTCGGGTATTTAATGTAAACGGACCATCACTCCAACTCTTCCATGTTTTGAAGGTTAAGAACGGAGTTTCAAGCTCTTTTGCTGTGGGAAAATAGGGATACAATTCAGCACTGTATCCCCAAGAAATTGACACCGTCCAATTTCGGGTGTGATCATAGCAAAAACTCGGTTGAACGGTCCGACCCGGATCCAATTTATAAGCTGTAACTAACTTTTGGAGTGCCTCTATTCGATCCATGTCTGGGAACATTGGGTCCACGTAGTCTAAATGATGCAATGAAACCAAGGGTGCTACTGGGTGTGGTGACAATAACCCATAAGGGTTCCCATGTACATCAACCTGTAGTGACGAAATAATAAAGGAATTAATTAGCCGACCTACTTTCACCTAAAAATTCATAAATAGGTAGTTAGTTTCAAGCTTATAGGAAACACTGTTAATAAGTAAATATAGTAAGGTTCAAATAAAAAGTTAAAGTTTCTCTAAGAAAAACTGAGAAAAAAAATAAAGTACCACTAATATGATACATAAGATAAAATAAAGTACTACTAATATGATACATAAGAAAAAAATAAAGTACTAATAATATGATACATAAGAATACGTGTTATTGATACACAAAGGATTATTTTTACCATTTTAAAAACATTCATGCTTTAGGTTTGAGAGTTGATATGTTGAAAATTATTTATTTTAAAAAAATATTTAAAATAAATATCTATTTTCTTATATTATTTTTTAATTTAATTTAATATTATAAACTAAATAAAACTATTTAAAAAAATTATTTCTAAGAGTATTTAAATTTATCAAATACTTAAATGTTGAAAAATTCTAATAATAAGATTCTATAAAATTATTAGAAAATATAATCCAATAAATAAATTTCAAAAGTCATAAAACAAACCACTTAAAGCTATATGAAACCAGACACAAGACTATGTTACACAACAACATATAACAATATTTAAAAAAATATATGAAATTGATACATCTACATATATAATATATTTGAATTTTATTTATCTATTTAATATTAAAAGAGTTAACTTTAATTAAAATTAACAGTAGTATTGTTTAAATACATGTTAACCATTTTAGACATATTTTTAAAACATTTCTATAAATTGTTATATAACACACACATACATTCATATATATATATATATATATATATATATATATATATAGAGAGAGAGAGAGAGAGAGAAATAAAATGTATTGAGAAAATGATATAATGGTTAGAGAGTCCTATTTTTAACAACAAAAAAATATTAAAAGAATAATATCGTCAAAATAAAAAATAAAAGAGGAAAATTGGAACATAAATTTTTTCTTTATTAAGAAAATAAAATAAAAAATAATTATTCTAAATTTCATTTATATTAAGTTTAAAACTATATATAAAATTCATCAATATATAGTAAAAAGTAAATAAAAATCCCATATTAAACTACCTTTCATAATTTCTTTCATTGCTATTCTTGAATGTATTCATATATTAATTAAATACAGTAATGTGTGCTTTACTCACAATATTTAAGAAATTACTGAAATAAATATTTTCTAAACAAGTAAATAATTACTTTGGTCAAAAATGTTAATAAAAACTAATAATTACCCGTCTCTAGTCCTATTTATAATTATTTTTCAAACTTATTAAATAATCAATGAATAGTATTTATTATTATTAAAATGGATTAAATTAATTTAAAAATTAATTTTACTAAAAGTAAAAAGCTTTAATCAAATTAAAAAATTAACAGTTTCTGGAAAATAAAATATAATAATTCTTAATATGGAATTTAATCGGATTCATAGTGTGTGATATAGAATGAATCAATGAAAAATAAAAAGAAGGAAAATACCTGATGAAAGCCAGGTTCTTTGGTAATCTGAACTCCAATTTCGCTAATACAGCTTTGAATTTTCTGATCAGATCCATAATAATCAGCATACCTATCAATACAACCGTCCAAAATCATCACCAGCTCCGCCGCTAAAGGGTAGCTTATAGCAAACCCTCCGCCACCATAACCCATTGTGTAAAAGTGCACAACATTTTGTTCTACACTCTCCGAATTTCCACCAATATAATACAATTGATTATGATCATATTTCGACAACACTGTAATAAGATTTTCCTGAAAGAATACCGTATCGTCGTCACCCATCACGAACCATCTGACATTCTCTAACCCTAAATTAAAAGTCTCTTTCAGTATTCGAGCAATGCGGATCGCTGAACGAGAGCCGTAATCACACGTGTATTTAAACGACGACGTATCGGCTGAGACTTTATACGGCGGAGATGTTTTCGGCCAGGTTTCGTTATTCGGCGGGGCTGTATCAAGCCAGACGAAGCCTCTCGTGACATTAGGTTTCCACCAGAGTTCCGTATAATGACGACGATTCTCCCAGGTTGAATAGGTTCCGCCGATTCCGAAAACGATGTGTGAGATGTTGGTTGGAATAGGAACTTCGGTTGCGTTGGGATTTTGGGTTTTAGGGATTTCGGATTGGAACATTCGTTTTAGGGTTAATTGATTAAAGTGGATTTGTGGTTTCTGGTAAGAGATTGAAAGGTAGACAAAATTGATGAGAAAGATGATGAAAATGACGATAGCCAATTTGAAGAAAGGAAAAAAGTAATCGCTTTTGATGGTGGGGAAGAGAAAGGTTCTCCATTTGTTGAAAAGATCTCGAGCTGATTCCACGGAAGAAGAAGAAGACATTAGATGATAAAAACTTGAGGTATAAAAATTTGAGGTTTATGAATGAAAATGGGTATGTGGTATATTATATATAAGCCTTACGCATATAGTAATAAAAAAACACACGTGAGGTGTAAGGTTTCTGTTCTTGGAGGCAAGTGTGGTGGATTATGTTGTTAGTGGCGTGAACGTCTTTGCATTATTTTAGGTTGTAGGAAGGAGATATTACAATCTACTTGGTTCTCTATGTCTTGATTTAAGTGTGTATATATATATATATATATATATATATATATATATATATATATATATATATATATATATATATATATATATATATATATATATATATATATATATATATATATATATATATATATATATATATATATATATATATATATATATATATATATATATATATATATATATATATATATATATATATATATATATATATATATATATATATATATATATATATATATATATATATATATATATATATATATATATATATGGGAAATTATATAAAAATAAAAATAAGAAAGGATTTTAGAAGTTTTCGGAAAGTTGTAAAATTTAGAATTAATATTAAAGAAATTAAGATTAGTCTTTTATGACTAAGTTAGTGCCATTAATTATATTGATTTTCTAGTTTTGTACCACTTGTCTAAGGATGGGCCATGTATGATTTCTTTTTTTGAAATTTTATATCTCAATCTTGCATTTACCCCTCTATTTTTATAAGATAAAAATTTGGACTAAAATATTTCACTATAAATATTTATATTTAAAAAATTTTCATTTTTTTCCTCATTTCATTTTAGAGAGAGCGAGAGTCTGTGAAAATCGAAAATCATATAACTAAGTTATTTGTTTCCATTACAAACCAGAAAACACAGACAAAAGTTGTTCGGTTCTTTTACTTTTCAACATCGAAGAGTGCTTTAGCGTTTTGTACATTAGATGGTATCAACCAAATTTTAGATGTGCATTAATCATATTAGCCTTAAGATGCATACAAATGGTTTTGAAAATAGTTGGAAAAGTCCTAAACATGCTACATCCATAAAAAACAAAGTTTTATGTGTGAACATTGTTGCATAGGTCGACACACACGACTTCAGATCGACCTATAAAACCTATTGATTCACTATAGATCCACACATATCTGAACAGGTCGACCTCCACGCATCAATACTGCAGCTTGTAGGCTCTGCCCAGAGGTTGTTGCACTTAGGTCCACCTGAGTACCTTGACAGACCTACCTATTGCTTTCATAGGCCGGCCTGTAGCTTTCAAAAACTTAAAAGTTTGTTTTGCATCTTATTTTTTATCGCATGCTTTTTTCCTATTTCCACAGACACACACGCACACACACACACACACACGCGTGCACACACACGCAGATATATATATATATATATATATATATATATATATATATATATATATATATATATATATATATATATATATATATATATATATATATATATATATATATATATATATATATATATATATATATATATATATATATATATATATATATATATATATATATATATATATATATATATATATATATATATATATATATATATATATATATATATATATATATATATATATATATATATATATATATATATATATATATATATATATATATATATATATATATATACATGCATCATATTCTAGTAAGGTACTGGTGTAAAACCAAAACGAAACCAGAATTAAAAAGGTTTCTTATCATCTTCAACTTTTCTTCTATGCATACAAACAATCAAACTACACAAATTATTTTTTGATTGGGTGACCATTTATATTAGGGTTGCTAACGTCTAGTTAGGTTGGTGTAACCGAGAATATTGGGCTGGGATCTTTGTGTGTTTCAAAGAGGAAAACCAAGCTGGGGCTTTTCTTCAAGAACATTGGAATTTGGAAGGTTTGAACAAGATTACACAAACACGGATTCGACAGAAGAATGCCTTGGGACAAGGTGGTTTCTTGCAAGGGAATAGTGTGAGACGCTGAGTCGTGTTCGGGAATCTTGGGTTCAACAAGTGCATGCTAGGGATTAATCCAACAAAGCGAAAACCTCGAAGACGAGAAGGTTTTACAAGAAAGTAGTCAATAACAAGTGAATTGTAGCATCATTGTTGGTGACTTGATGAAACTTTGATCAAGGGTTTGGAGGTGGAAAAATCAACAACAAACCATAGTATTTGTGGGGTTGGAGTTCTTAATATCTTTTATAAACATTTTTGCAAAGATAAGGTTAATTACAAGTGTCAAATCGATTTCGGATTGAGGGAAAGCGTACCTATAGCGCGGCTGATTAAGGAACTGCCTAAACAAATCTTTGTGTCTCTCTCTATCTCTCTATTTCTTTAATTGTTGTTCTTGAAATTATCGAGTTCATAGTTGTTTGATTAATTTGATCGAAAGTTGTTTTTCAATTATCTTTTAAAGTGTTGGTTTTTATATAATCATAATCACTTTGATTGTGATTGGCTTTTAAACATCATCAAAACAAATTAAATTTCCAATTATTATCGATCGCACACAAATTGTTCGATAAATTGCCTTTGAGTATTTTAATTGATTTGTGTTCATCAGACATAAGTTTTACGAATACCGTTGAATTTAATTAATTCGTGAATTAATCGTTGTTGAACAATTTGTGTTCATTATCATCCTCACTTGTTTATGTTACACATATTCGAACTTTTCGATAGTAGGTTCGGTTACACGATTCGATTCAGGTTGTTTCCGTTGTGCCATAAAACCATTGAAAATAATTTTTGCCAAAAGTTTTTTTTTAATTTGTGATCTATTCACCTAGCCTATCGTCTAATAAGTGGTATCACAAGCTCTGGTTAATTTCGTGCTTAAGATTTACTTTTTAGAAGAATGGCTACCGGACCTAAGGGACCGTACAGTAGAGCACCAATTTTCATCGGTGAAAAGTATGGCTATTGGAAAGATCTTATGCATATTCATGTCAACTCTGTTGACAAAGGTATATGGGTGTTGCTTCTTATGTGTTTAATTTTTGATATTGATTTAAATTAAAGGTGTCACATGTAAGTATACATGTATGTTTGATTGCAGCAAGTGATAAAGTAAAGAGATCGTATCCACAAGGAGTGAAATTGATTTAGCTTTGAACTATGAGTATTCAACCTTTGTTTAAAATAAGTATGGGCAAGGTAACAAAATACTTATGGTAGTAAGCAGCAAGAGGTTCACACAACAACTTAAAATATTAAATAAAAAGGGAATAAAATATCAGAGAGAGTGATTGATGAGCTAAGATCCATTAATATATTATTGCTGAAATGTATTCATAATGTGAAGTGTCATGCCTCAAAAGGTCAGAACGTGATCTAGTGGTGTATCTCTACAACATCAAAGCATGCATAAATATGGGAAAGGAACAAATCTCCAAGCCTCACTTATAACCCTAAAATACGTCTAGTATTAATTCTGAAAATCTTTATGGCCTTAGCTTCTTATCTCTAAGCAAGCTAAATTAAGTGAATATCTCTATCCTACTTTATAAACCACTTTTGTTATGAAATCCACTCATTGTTGGATCTCTCTCAACAACAAACCTATACCTTTTTCTAAGTTGATCATTCTAAAAAGTAGGTGTATAGAATAAAAATACATAACAAAATAAGACACTAATCACACATCATTTCAACATAAAAACAACTTTATATTAACTTCACTTTGCTCATCAAACAAGCGTTTAGCTCATAATGGGCTGAGTACAAACTACTGGAATGAAACTACAGGAACACATAGTCTTAGCAAAAACATATAAAAGAAATGACAATGTAATACTAACTTGAAGATCGCTTTTATTGGGTAAAAACAACAAATCTCTTCAATCACGACGACTCCAAGCAGTGAATGAGAAGAAGAAAACTCTCTAAATCTTTCCTAACCCTCAAAGTGAAATAAAACTAAACTAAAAATATGTAGGAGTGTGTGAAAATCTCTAGCTCTCACCTCTCTCTTGCTCTCATGCGCAAGGCTTGCTTTTATAGACTTAAGTGTGAGAGTAGAAGTTGGTGAGTCTTGGATCATGGGCATCTGATAGAAATAAGGTTCAACCCATATCAAATCACTAAAATATCTAATTGTTCAATCTTCTTTTGTGAGCAAGTTATCTAGTATAGACAACAATGGGGGACAATGTGTCTTTGGAAGGCTGCTGTAAAAGGTAATGGCGCAGAGCAGACGGTGGGTGGCTGGGTGCAGGATGCGCTTTTGCAGGCGTGCCCTAATGATAAAATCCTTGCCGCGTGTTCCCTAATGATAAAATCCTTCTAAGATCTTGGTGAATTGTTGATAACAAGAATCAACATCTTCTTTTCTTTAATCTTCTATCTACTCCAGACTCTGTCTTAAGGTGTCATGCCTTAGCTTGCCTTTATTAGATTTTTTTTTAAAACAAAAACACATAAAAAAACCATAAAAGAAGCACCTAGTGTGCTTAAGGTAAAAACATACTAAAATAACTAAATTTAAACAAATTATAATTAAATTTAAACTAAAACCATAGGAAAAATGGATCACTATGACATACTAAAATAGTGTTATCACTCCCCCAAACTTGAATTATCACTTGCCCTCAGGTGATATGACAGTGAATGACAAAAGAGAATTTCAAAAACAACAGCCTATGATTGGATTGATGGAATGGCTCATCTTGTTACTGGATGAATGGTTTATACATAAAAATAATTGAAATAACTCAACCTTGTATCAGCCCAAGAGATGTCACATACTGAAGTGACCAGATTCCTACTGTTACGCCACCATTCTTCAGAAGAATGAGCTAATTTTTCTTTGTGATTCCAATTTGAGTACTCTTGTGAATTAAGTTTTCTTCCTTTTGGGTTTCAAGTGGAAATTTTGTCATGACTCTTTTATTGACTTTTGACTTCCACTTTTTAGATCACATCTTTCCACTTATTTATTTTCTTTTTTCTTTT